GTTTAACTGTTGGTATTTAGAATAGTTGCACTGAAGTGTGGTATTCATACATGACTCAGCTGGCATAGATGCCTTCAAAAAGTTTGAACTTTTTTGAGCCAGTCTACCATAGTGGTTAAGGTGTTTGCCTATGAACAGGGAGACCCAGGTTCTAATCTTAGCTGGGAAATGTCTTTGGGTTAGTCACTATCTCTCAGCTCAGGTCTCACGGGTTTGTTGTTTAGGTCTTGTACTATGCTTAATTATAAGTATATAGCAACCAAAAATATTTCAAATATTAAACATACAGAAGGAATTCTAAATTTGTTCTTATGAGAATGTGAAGTGAAATTTAATTTATTAACAATAGAATTTTGATAAAGTCTTATTTTTCATTATAAATTATCTAACTTTTTGAAAAGGAAGTGTGGTAGGTGCCTAGGGGGTGGTACGCAGGTGCATTAGCACTATATTGGGGACCTACGATATGAAATAAGGGCTAAGGATATGGGCCGCAAAAACTTGGTGTTAGAGCTCACCAAACTTGTTTAGCCATAGAGTAACAATTGATCTTTAAATCTTATCCCTCAATTTGCAATATAAAGATAATAGTGATTCTAATGTGTCTTATACGATTAGTGGGAAATTATTGAGATGATAGATACAATGTGCTTTTGATATGCTTAAAGCATCACGGTGTTAAAATGAAATTAAATAAAGTGTACATTCATGAATATCATCTTTCAGTGTTCGGCCACCAAAGAAAAGTTGGAAGAAGATATTTAACTTGTCAGGTGGAGAGAAGACATTGAGCTCATTAGCTTTGGTGTTTGCTTTACATCATTACAAGCCAACCCCCCTCTATTTCATGGATGAAATTGATGCAGCCCTTGATTTTAAAAATGTTTCCATTGTAGCATTTTACATATATGTAAGTATTGTAGAAGTTAATATTCAAACTTTACATACGTTAATTAATATCAAGCTAACATTAGCTGTACATAAAAGTATTGGAAAAAGGTTTTGAACTCTTTGGAAATGTACAGTCCCACAAAATAAAAAATGAAATCTGAAAATTATTTTTCTTTGGATCAGAATGTCCATTCTGTATACCGAAATTCTGTATACCGATATTGTAGAAAGTTCATGACCAGAATTTTAATGCAGGCATACCCATCATATTGTTTCTTTTCAGAGTAAGCAATATCTTGCAGAGAACTGATAAGGAATAAGAAGTAACAAGGCAAAAATTAAAGGTGTGGGATAAGAAAAGGAAACTTAGTTAAAAGTAGTTTAGACCAATACCATTCAGTATATATCCCCATACATTTCTCTCCTTGCAAACCATGGTTGATTCTACTACTACTCTTCTTACTTGCCTTTTGTTCTTATCTCTTTGAGGATCTCGTCTATTCCATCCACCCATTACTTTCTCATTCTTCCCCTTTCTCTTGATACCTTCACACTTTCTTCAGAGTCACTTGTTGAGATGGGCGACCATATAAATTGGATAAATAAAAATAAATAAATAAGTTTCATAATTTGATCCTTATTCTTTCATTCTTTCTACATGACTAAACCACTTCAGTGCACTTCTTCCATACTAATTCCTCACTTTTGTATTCAATCTACATTAATTCACTCATTCATTATTACTTTTGCCACAAAGTATTCCATTTCCTGAGTACTTTTATTTCTCCTGACACACCCAACTCTCATTTCTCTATAAGAAAGGAGTAGAAACATGCTGAATAGCAAAAATCTGGTCTGCACACTCCCTATCTAGCATAAAGCTGCACTATATTTCCCAAATTTTGCCTAATAACTTCTCTTGTACCTTTTCAGTCAGTGTTCTGCCAAACGCTTCCCCAGGCAACACTTGAAAAGATAATCGCACTGTAATTTTTGCATTCGCTCATGCTGTCTTTTCTGTAAAGAAGAGTGATAGCCTTCTTCCAATCACAAGCACACATGCTGTCACTATTGTTCCTATACAAATCTCTCAAATACAGTATTCCTTTCACCATTCCCACACTTAAATTTCATTCAAAATCATTTCATTAATTTTATTTCTGTTTACTTACTTAAGGGCTCCTTCTTTTCCCTATTCACCCATTTCCAAAACAAATTTCTGTTTTTAACAAAATCGTTCGGCCTTTTCTCTGTGTCTTTCAGTCCTTGCTGTCATTGGCTAGTTCTTTGCAAGAATCCTTTTTGCTATGTCTTTAAACTACATATTCAGAACATACATTTTTCCAAGCAGACTTGAAAAATCAGTTCATGTTCAAATAATAAAGTATAATGCAGTGTTTCCCAGTTCCTGAAATGAAGACTGCATGCCCTTATATTAAAAATTCAGTAGCCTTTTTTCCACTTATCTGCAGGGAATGAAGTGAATTAATTTTAAAGATGCAGGACAGCTTGCTACCTTCCTTGTAGGAAAGCCCAATTAATGAACTGAAATTTCTTTTTTCTTCTCTAAGCCAGTTGAAGTGGGTTACTAATATTGATGCTCAGGTCAGTACTGAGAAGTGCTGATTCTGTTGTTGTAATTGGTGAGGATTGTAAAAGACATTTACTGGGAAATTATTGTGTTGTGAATATTAACACAAATTTTATTCCAATTTCCAGGAGCAAACAAAAAATGCACAGTTCATCATAATTTCTCTGCGAAACAACATGTTTGAAATAGCAGATCGACTCATTGGTATTTACAAGACTTATAATACAACAAAAAGTGTGGCAACAAATCCCAAAGTTATTGCATCAAAGGGACTTGCTGAACTTGCTTCCACAGGATGCTTCTGAATATTTAGTTTAATACCTATTTCCTGTAGGTGGTTTTTAAACTTACCATGTTATTGAGCGTCCATTATCTGAAACAATATAAATCTCTTTAACTCTAAGTGACTGCTTAAAATAGGCAAATAATTCTGTATTGTTAACCATCAGACATGACTTTTGATAGTAGCATCTAAACTGATTAAAATGGTGGATTTTTAAAAAATATCAACAGCAAATTTTTATTTGAAAGTGAACATTTTTTGACAAAATTCTCTGTATATTGCAAAGGTATTCTTGTAAATAAATAAGTTGATAAAGAAAAGTTTATGAAAACCAAGCAGAGTCTGTGATATTGTGCTAGTTGCAATATGGCTTATTTGGTTTGGTTTGGCATCCTGGGTTTGGGATTGATTTTACAATTGAAACCCAACTACAATAAACCATGGTCAAGCAGACCCTGGCGGGAATACTATGTAAGCCCAGTCTAAAAATGATTTTGCCAATAATAGAAATATTGCCAAAAAAAATCACACTACATGTATGTGGAGTTGCAGAACAAAACACTGTCTCTTTACTGGTGGACAAATGGCTGTGATGCAAGGAAAATTCCATGGTTCTGCACCAGACTACCATCCATCAAGCAGATGGTGCTTAAATAAGTTGTTTCCTTTAAATAAGTTGTGGTAGAAAACTTTTTGTGGAGAATATTCCCAGTCCAGCAGTTCCCCAATAAGAGCTGAGAAAGTTTTCTTTGCACCCTGGAAAAATACAGCCAGCATTAACTAACCCTAAGTTACATGAACGATGGCCTGATTCAGAATAAGACTGCTCCTAATGTTCCACTAGACAGCAAGTTAATATTACAGGTCCTTGGTTAATGACCAAAGTTGTGACAGCACTGAACAAGTGGTATTTATGATCAATCCTTGAAGTTCTGGCTGTTGCAGCACCCCCAGTCATGTGATTGCAATCCAGGTGCTTGGTAAGTGGCTCACATGACAGTTGCAGCTTCCACAGTCATGTGATTGCCATTTGCAACCTTCCCTTCTGGCTTTTCATAAGCAAAGTCAGTGGAGAAGCTGACAGTCCCTTATGCTTGATCCTTGCCCAATTTGGGTATTTAGATCAGTAGGGAGACTGATGGTGGGAATGGTAAATAACCCATGGTAACCGTGGTGCCTCCCCTCCCTCGCAAGAGTAGTCCCTTTTAAAAAGGACATCCTGGACTCATAAGAACCATCATCCTGTTACAACTATCACACTTTGTGGCGAGTTGCTTAATATAACAGTGACTGATCATCATCACACTTTTTTGCAGGATAACAATTCTCGTTTCAATCAATCAGGTTGCAAACAATGTTTTTACATTAAAATTGCCTTGGCCTCCCTGATACTACCTGTTCTGGGTGAATGAAGTGGGAACTGCAGTTCTGGTGCAGTTGGTCCTAAAATGTGCTATATTTCTAAAGCTGCTGGATAGTATGCCCTTGATGCTTATCTAAGCAATTTCCTTAATCTCGTATGTGTTGAAATGAATAAGGAAGGCCTGTCTTTATGGCATTTGCATTTACATTTCAGCATTGAAAGCAGGTATCAAAATAATTTAGCTCCATTTCAGTTTTGATTGGACTACTTTCTAAAGTCAAACACTTTAAATATACATTTAAAAAAAACAAGTGAACATTCCTGATTTCTATATGGTGTACACTATAAATAGACAAAACATGGCATAACTACTTAGAAGACTCATACTGAGCTTTGGGGTAACGGATTTTCTTCACAGACAGACAGGGCTGCCTATCTTAAGCAACCGTGGGTGGCTCACAATAAAAGCAATAAAAACAATCATAAAGGACTAAAAACAGCGAAGAAATCACTAAAAAAACTTTTTTCTCATTTGCAGTGCCTGCAACCTGCCAAACTGAGTTCAATAGTAAGCACATTTATAGATTCCTTGTGCCCATTTACAAGGTTACTTTAGGCTAGATTTATTGTTCAGGATTTATCAAATTGTATTTATTTTTCTTTGAAGAGGATCCATCTCCAGTTACTTGGAGTTGGGCAGCATCCAAATTGAATAAAATAAAATGTACTTGTCCCAAAATTTCATGAAACCATATTAAGTGACCATAATATTAAGCTCAAAGCAAATCTCAAGTGATATTTATATTTAAATCTAACACGTAGAGAAACAAATATGCATATTGAAAAGATTACAATCAGTCTTACCCAAAAACAGCAGTTTATTTTCTTGTATTTATTTAAAATAGCTTCAGAAATATAACTATGAATACAATTCTAGCTAACATCAACATTAAATTATTTTATTAATGAAAAGTACAAATTCTGAAATCTGAAACTTGAAAAACCCATTACAAATTTTAAAATTTAAAAGCATGAAGTTGAATATAGTTGAATAATGAGATAGAATATTGAGGATGGAGATAACAAATTCCAAAAAACTACTCCCCCTGATTATCATGCAACTGCTATAAACCATATATGGTATGACTAACAGAAAAGAGGCTACTACATTATTTAAAATATATTTTCTACCAGGCTCTTGTGTTTTAAGTTTATATTGAACCAACTACAGTTAAGGATGATGGCAATATTTATTCTGAAACCAGTTATACTTTATATATATTTCTACCAATTGTTTCATTTTATGTGGTAACAGTTAAATGTATTTTTGCAAGTGAAAGCATGTTAAAGAAGTCCATTGATCTTTACAGCAAACCCATTAAACTCCACAAACTATTCTTTGATAGTTGATAGGCTCTGCTGCTTTTGGTCATTTAAGCATTTTCACTGCTATCTGCATAAATTGGAAACCACTAGGATCAGTGCACTATTAATCACAATTCCATTTTAAAAAGTAGAAACCCTCTTCCTGCAACTTATCATAACCCTGCCAGATAATGCCAGGTTTATGTACTGGAATGGTTATCTCCCTCACTGCCAATTAACATTACTCTACTGTCTTCCAAAAAAATGAAGGCCTCAGTGAAGTATATATGTAAAATAGGAAGCACTTATAAGATCACTGTTAGAAAAGTACTGCAGTGCTTTTGTTTGAAGTGACACGCTCTAATCTCTGGAACTAAAACTAGAAGCCATGGGAGATTTATCGCAAAATGTGATCCTTAAAGAACTGTAAGCTTTATGGAAACTGAAATAAAGTAATATAAATTTTAAGTGCTAAGACTAGAAATATAACCTGTTTCCCTACTCATCCAAGATAATCTGAGTCAAGAAAAATTAATTTTTTCATCTTTCCCAGCATACTATTTGAAACGTTAGAATTGACTAGCAGTTGTGAGATGCTGTTTCATCTAAGAACTTCCTTTTCCAGAAGGAAACACTTCAAAATATTTAGTCTGATATTTGTTTCCAACAGGGAAACCGACTGTATTAGGATAATTAGCATTGTATTTTGTTTATCAATAGTTTATAAAAATTATGGATGTGAAGACAACAAAGATGTGACCAGAGTAAACTAGCAAGTCAAGCCAAACTCCATCTTGATTCTCACACAACCTTTACATGATCTTCTGTAGGCAAGAGATCACCTTTGCATGCATTTTGAAAACTGAATTGAACATTCATCCCCACAGCGCAGGCTGTTACTGGCCTCTTTGCAATGCTAGGTATTTCATCCTGTCACACCTGACAACAGATGTTGGTATCAACTCATACTTAATTTAACATCAAACTAAAATGAAATCCCTAAGAATTCAGATATTATTCTTAGCAGGGCAAAAAGTTGCTATCAAAAGGACAAAGAAATTATTCAACTAGATCAGGGGTGTATCAGAGTGTTTTCCACTGCTATGTGCAACCTTTTACTTAAGTCTTGATAAATTATCTGCAAGGCACCAAAAATATATGGAAAAGCTATTTCATTTATGAATGTTAATATATGTTGGTGAAAAACAACAGTAAGAAAAATAAAAGAAAGTAATATAGTTGCCAAAGGATTTAAGGACCAGAAAGATTTTTTAGATTGTCTAATCTCATTGTCACAATCCTGGCTATATATTTTTCGTTTTGAAATTAGCTTTATTTTGGGAATGAGAATTTTGTTAATCTGATTAATTTCAACTTTGCTCCACACATCTTTTAACACCTGTCCTATTCGAGGATGGATTTCAACAGGCTTAATCATTGGTAATGGTTTTTCCCTCAAAGTTTTAACACGCTGACGTATTTCCTCCACTTTCTCCAGAAAAAGAAGAGGAGACTCCTCCTCCTGAAATGATGTATTCAGTGACATTAGCTCAAGTTGCTCTTCTAGTATTCCTTTCAACGTTTCTATGAGAGGTTCATATTCTGCCTCAATCTGCATATTTACATCATCAAGAGCTGCAAGTAAAGCTTGTTTTTTCTGATCAAGTGCATCACTGAGTCTCTTAAAATATTGCAAAAGTGTTTTTTTATCTTCCTGAACAATACTCCCACATTGAGCTTTCTGTTCCTCAAGGTTTTGAATAAGCAAACAAACTTCACTCCAATGTTTATCTGTCAACTGCTCAAGCAGTTTTCCAGGAGTTTCCTTTTCTTTCATATAGGCACTTTGTAGGTCATCTATAGGATGGCCATGATGTTCTCCTATTGTAAGACAATGGCCACACACAAGTTTTCTGTCTAGAAGACAGTAAATATTTAGTGGCTGTCTATAATGCTCGCTGCAGGTAGCAACTTCAGGATGATCATCTTGTTGATACTTTTCAATAATAGCCTTTAATGCAAAGTTTACTGGCAAAGAGTCTGTACCAGATGGAGGAATTTCAACAATACTTCTACAGTTGGGACACTTCAGTGGAAGCCTTAGGGGTCGCCATATGGAAAAATTGCTTGATATCTGAAGAATACTTTCCAAACAGTTTCTACAAAATGTATGAGAACATGGCAGTACACGAGGATCATCAAATATACCGTAGCAAATAGAACAAGTCAATTCCTCTTCAAAATGATGCATTTCCTAAAATTAAAAAAATATATAAATTAAAATTGAGATAGAGATGTGCAAAAATTGTAAGAAACTTAAAAATACTGATAATTCAAAGAAATTAGTTATTACATGATTTAAATACAAATAACTTTTTAAAAAATACAAGTAGAATTAGCTGAACAGTAAGTAATACATAATTAATTCCCACTTTGTCTATTTGGTGTTAGATATTAACATAATTATTATTTGTCTCTAATATCAATGTTTGTCTGTAGCATCTAGTTAAAGAAAAAAGTATCAGAAAATTCTCAGGCATTCTAAAATAACAAGCAAGGTATGTCATGATTAGCATACATACATTTCATCATTCCATTATTTTTAAAAAGTGTTAAAACCCAAGCTTTCATCTATTTTTATGCATGTTGTGTATAACTGTACATATAGAGTAGAATCATGGAACAATAATTCAAGAATATAAGGTGGTAATCTAACATAACTATGCTTTAGTTTCCATGTTTTAAAGTCAAGCTTAATATTTGCGGGTAGTCCAAAGCTTCACAGGACAAAAATTAATACTAGTCAGTACTAGATATTACCTCCATTAATAGAGGTAACATGCCACTTAAAACCAGTTGTCCAAGTTAATAAGCAGGAGCACTCATGGTCCAACTTGTGTGCTTGCCAGAGGCATATGATTGGCAACTGTGAGAACAGAATGCTGGAAAAGATGGGCCTAACATCTGTTCTGGCACTACTGTTCTTATGGATTGAATTCCAATTACTGCTATGCAAATAGCACTTATTCATTTATTTATTTATCAAATTTGTCACCGTCATTTTGTTAAAAAATTATTCCGGGCAGTTTACAAAGTGGTTAAAATCGATTAAAATCACAGTATAAAATATTCCTAAATAAATAGAAAATAAATATAATCCAAGGACAGATGTTAAAATTGGTAGTAAATTGGGGAGCGTCATCAAGGTGCCAGTCACCCACAGGATTGGGTAAGATTCTTGTCACCCCACCCAAGCTGGCAGAGCCAGGTTTTTAATCCTTTCCAGAAAGCCAGGAGGACAGGGGCCTGCTGCACCTCTTGGGGGAGAACATTCCAAAGGGCAGAGGCAACAGCAGAGAAGGCTCTCCTCCTGGGCCCCGCCAGCCAACATTCTCTTGCTGACGGGGTCCACAACATGCCCTCTCTGCCTGACCGGGTGGGACAGGTTGATGTGATGGGTGTGAGACAGTCCCTCAGGTAACCTGGACCCATGCCATTCTTTATTAATTTTTATAATTAAACAATCAGTTATCTATGGAGTGAAAAACATTATTTCTAGCACTGTAGTATATTTTACAGGAAGGCTCTTATATTGGACCAACTGTAGTAGAACTTTCAAGTGTCACATAACTTTCTAATGGAGAAGCTACTCTGTCCACACCTGCACACAAGTGGAACAATACCCAGTACTCCTGGGCAAGACAGCAAGGATTTTCAAACTGAAGTAGGAAGATTTCACAACAGTTCTCAACCCTCCAGCCACATCTGAAGGGGCTTCTGGGATATTCCCATATAAGAAAGCACTGGACCCCATAGTGCCTTTCCCAGTTTTTCTTTAATTTGGTTTTCAAAAAATGGAAAAAATGCAAATAAACCTAGCTGTCCCAAACTGTCTCCCACTTGTGGCTCTAACCAACGAGTTCCATTTGGCTCCACAGAACATAGTGGGATTACTAAGCACCTTATGGCCTATGATGTCTAACATATCCTTAAGAACTAAGCTAATGGTGCCCAATAAGAGGGGGAACTCTACCCATAGATGTAGGTGGCTGACAAACCAATGGAACACTGAGGCACATGCATGAGATTACAGCACCAGCCATCAGCCATGGCTAAGACCTCAGTATTATGGGCATACTCCTTATTTCTTCAGGTCACAGCAGATGCAAGGCACTTGAGGGAAGGCCTGGACAAACAGGGGCGAAGGATGCTCCGAATTCATGGTCAACTCATACAGACACCATTCCATCTGCCAGGGCTATAGCCTCAGGCATGGAGCCTTCTCAGGGAATATACTTTAGACTTTGCTGATCTTCCTACCAATTTTCAAGGAACTCTTTTTCAAGGCACTTGTCACTCACAAGTGAAGAAAAGACCATAACAAACATTTATCACATGACACCCCAGATAGATGGCTGATAAACATTTTGGCATACTTGTCAACACATCTTCACCAAAAGGTATATATGAGAGAGAGTTCAGATGAAAGATGCTCTAGAGGCGACTATGTGTAGCTCAGGGTTGAACTGTGGAGTCCTTGGGGTTCTCTGAGCTTGGTTCTTTTCTTGCCAGGAATTGAAATGTTTGCAAGAAAAGAA